GAAAAATCAGAATAACTCGAATCATACAGCCTTGCTTCTCATATGGTAGAAGACATTAAGAAAGTTACAAACTTCTGGTCAGGTTTCCTCAATCTGTCACAAGGGCAGCACAAAGAAATGAATGGCCACTAGAACTGTGAGGGTGCATGAAGGAAGGTGAGAGCCATGCAAAAGCTGTGGAATGTTGCAAAGGCTTGCCAATGAGTGTTTGCATAATTACTGTTATCCAATTAACTTTTTCTTTTCTCATGAAGAGAACATTTTAATATAGATAATACACCATCTAAATTCATGGATTGCACAGCTGTGAGGTTATGGACAATGGCACGTATAGATTTTGGCTTCAAGTTGCTGAGATTTTAAATGAGATAATACTGTGGAGGGGATTCATTCATAGGATAAATAAAAATAGATGTTGGTAATGATAAGAGAAACTCTGGCCTTCTTTTCTTTCTTTCTTTCTTTCTTTTTTTTTTTTTTTTTTTTGGTACCAGGGATTGAACCTGGGGACACTTAACCACTGAGCCACAGTGGTCTGGGGTCATAGCTTATTGTAGAACACTAGTTTAGCATGGTTTTGGGTTAAATCCCCAGCACTGGGGGAACTAGAAAAGTTCTATAGAACTATCGAAATTTTTCTTCTTCAGTTAGCAAAGAACCAACAATGACACACTAAGTAATTTTTTTGTCTTTTTAAATTGTGGTATTGGGGAATGAACTCATGGACACTTTACCACTCTGCCCCAGCCTAAGACCCTATTGCAATAGTCTCTATACCTATTATGATGGTCCTGAATAAAGTATCTTCCCATGCTTTAATAAGTATTTTTTAGATCATTGTTTCTCTAATACTGCAAGCCAAGGAACACTAATGATTGCTAGCAAGCCACTAGAAGCTGAAAGAAGCAAGAAAGGATCCTTCCCAACAGCTTTCAGAGGAAAAATGACCCTGCTAACACCTTGATTTAAGAATTCTAGCCTCCAGAACAATGAGATAGTACATTTCTGTTTAAAGTCACACAAAGTTTCAGTACTTTGTTATGGAAGCTCTAGGAAATGCAGATACTGGCTGTCTCTGTACTAAAGATGCCCTTTGTTCCTCCCAATGTACTTTGCTAATCACATCAATATTGAGGAGGCTATTCTGAATTTGAAGAAGAGGAGGAAATGTGGAGAAATGTGGATTTTGATCAGGGGGAGTGGACAAGGAAACTGGGCATGACATTTGGAGGGTTTAGTTGAAAGACCTCAGGGGAGGTGTGGCTCAGATAAGGTCAGGATATGTGATTGGGAGGGGACCTGACTTGATTTTGAGCAACTAATCCCCTTATTCTGAGTCCATGCCCTTCGTTGCATACCCTAGGGACATTGCAATCTGAGAGCCCTGTCCTCACCCCAAGGAGGAGTATCAGATGCAAGTCCAGAAGCTAAATTCTTCTTCCACAGGCATCAGAGTCAAAAAGCCCCAAGTGTCTGGAGCATTTGCCCTCTTCTCTATAGCCCCTTTGTTCAACTATTTATCTGAGAGAATCCTCAGCACCTTTTAGTCCTTTTTTTGCTGGGGTGGGAAAGAGAGGTCTATCCGTCTATCCGGTAGCACAGGAAAGGGAGAGCAATGGCAGGGGGATAAAGGCTGCTACCCAGGCTGCTATCCAGGCTGCAAGGTTGGCCCCTCTGCCCTCCATGAGTGGGGCTGGGTCTTGATTGAAAGTGTGGATAATAAAAAGAACTATATTACTTTATTTTCATAAATTTTCTTAAAGGTGAAGGTAGTGTTTTTTTTTTTCATTTTTTCTTTTGCATAGAAGGATAGTGAGGATAAGATTCCCCTGCAAAAGAGGGGTGCATTCCTTCCCTGACTGACACCCCAAATTAACACACACCTACACATACACAAACAAATGTATGTGCATAGGTGTGCAGACACATATGCACACACACAGCCTTGCAACCTTCCCTACCAACAGATACTCATGCCTATTATGTACACACCCATGCACTTGAGCATGCATGTATAACACGCGCGCGCGCGCACACACACGCACACAGCACATGTGAACACATGTATACTTATCTGGCTAGCTTTCACTTCCGTGACTATAGCATTAGAGAAAACTAGGAGAAGAGCCAGGAAAAGCCAAGGGAGGAGTCTGGTAGCAGAAGAGTGGTCTCACTTCCTAAGAGTTTCCCTTTCCCTAATCCGACTCTGCCTCAAATCCTAGATTTCTCTCTCTGGGCTCAGCAATTGATTTTCCAATAATTTAACCAGAGTGATTCCAGGCTTATCCTTTTTCAGGTATTGATTTCTTAGAGACCTGAGCTTAGAATATGAGTTCCCTCAGGTGCTCCTGGGTCCTTCTCCTTTCAGTCTTAAAAGAGGAATGAGGTTCACAGTTTGGGCTCTGGATTTATTTGGAGACAAAATTTCTTAGGAGACCCACCAACTGACCAACCAAACCAACCAACAAAATGAGGGGATCAGTGTGGGGAAAAAACACAGGTGAATATCCCCTGAACACTTGCTGCAATTTTTCTTCCTCATACATATCTAGAGATGCAAGTGGAGGATTTGTTTGATTAGCTATTTCTGGTTTCTTTACACACGGGGGAATGTGAGGGTTGAGTAGACTTCCTCTGAAGAGATAGGAAGTAGAAGTGGCCACGTGTGTCCAGTAGCTAAGATGTACCTTTATCGCTAATGACTTCCTCTTGTTGCAAACGTAAAGACCAAGACCTACCCAAATCCAGGTCAGGTGGAGCTCTGAAGGTTCACTTTCTGTGTAAAACCTCACCCAAACTCCCTGCAAACACAGGGAGTTTTCATGTGTCAAGATGCATTATTTTGGTGTGTGGGTATATGTGGGGGTACCGGAAATTGAACCCAGGGCCTTATACATGCTAAACAAGCACTCGACCACTAAGTTAAATCCCCAGTCCATCCATTTCTATTGTTGATGGACAAACTGTAAACTCTGTCTTCTGCTCTGTCACTGAGGGAACTGGTCAGTTCAAGGTATAAACTGTGGGGCTGTCCACATCTACCATATCTCATCCTTTCTCTTCAATTCCTTCTTCCCCAAAGCTATCTGTATCTTGTGGCTAGGTAAAGGTCTCTGGAGTTTTTGTAACCCTGGTGGTCTTGACAGAGCCCCCCTTTCTCTGATGGCCACTGTGGAGTGCCTAGTCTCTCCTAATTCCCTGAGTAGCTTTTTGGCACCATGGCCAATGAATGGACTCTACATTTCCCCCTTTGTGGGCCTGTTGAGCACCCATAGACTATAGGGAAGTGAGAACAATTTGGAGGGTCACATCATGTCATCTGTGTAGACCCTCCACCCTACTGGGATCCCTAGGAGAGGAAATGCTCCCATGGGTGGTTTCTGGTTTCCCTCCCTCTGAGTTCCTTCCCAGGCCCTGGGCCAAGCTGACAAGGCTTTTCCTGAAGATCTCCCCTGGGTGTCCCAGGGCCTCCCTACACCTGGTGGGGCAGGGCACTCTTCTTAGGCTGAGTATTCAGCTTGATGTGCAGAAAAATCCTTTCCCCTTTCAGCAGGAAGCCTAGCTTTCAAGACTGTTATCCAAAAATAAAATTTGGAGCTCAAACTGGACACTTGTCTCTTGAGGCAGATCAAATCTTGCCCAACACAGTGGATGTGACAATCCAGAGATCAGGCAGCTGTGGACAAAGCTGAGGAGGGCAAGGAGTGTGATTGGCCCCTGGGCTATGCCACCCAAGATACAGGCCCTGACTAAATTCAGACTCAGGGAGGTGAGAGGTCTGGTTCTCTGGGTTGGCTCTTCCTGTAGCAGATGGAGAATGGGGTGTGTAGGGTATGTTTTATGGAGACTCCTTGTCCCACTGAGGAAACATTCCTTTGGATGGTAGGGGTCTCCTTTGGCCCCACAAAGGGCTCCTGGCTGCATCTCCTGTCTTGTATATTTCAGTGAGGTTTGTGGTGGAAGTACCCATTCACTGTAGCTGTTGGAAGGCCCTGGGCATCATGCTGTCAGGAGTTAGCTTTGTCCTCAGCACCAGTCACATCTGTACCTTGGTTCAGGCTGCTGTGGGGAGCATAGGGCCCAGGGCTAGGGAATGACTAATGGGCTTGGAGGGATTCATGTCCTCTGCTGATGCCAGGTTGGTACATGGGAGGAAGATAGACCATCCTGGGCATCTTGGTCTTTTCATGTGGATGGCAGGAGAGCTTCCTGAGGAGGAGGAGAAAAGTTGGGCCTGCAAAGGACAAGGCTACTTTCCCCAGAGTGAGGGGTGAGTTATGAACCCAATGCCTGAGAGGTTCCGTCTTCCTTGTGCTTGTTTCACACTTAGTCAGGGGTCCACAGAGCCAGTCTGAAGCTGACCAGGACTGGGTCAATAGCCACCAAGAAGCCTCAGAGTTCACCATCTGGGAGACCAACACAGTGTTCATTTATGACCTGGAACACCGTTGGCAATTCTTAAGCTTAGGGGAGGAGGAAGGAGCTGGTCTTGGCCTCTTGAGTTCCCTGTCTAAGCCCCAGTGGGGAGGGATGTCCACCTCAGCATTTAGAAAATAAGCCTTGTCTTTCCCCCTTTCCCTTTCTGGCTTTGTCCCAGGCCTCCCCGAGAAGTGTGTGCATACCACCTACCTGCCATATCATTACTTCCTTAGAGGGCCAGCCTGGGCTCAGCAGACACAGGTGAGCACCTTGACCAGGTGGAACATTCTATTTTGTGCCTGCGTGAGGTACCTTCCATTTGAGATGAAAAGGGACATCTTGGTTGTTCTAAACTGTGAATGCTGGGGAGAGGTTGCTGGGAAAGATGTTGGGACAGGGTTTGTCCAGTCTTGGACTTTTTGTTCACCAGAACTTTGGGGATTAGTTTTCCAACATATGCAATTTAGTGGGCAAACCTCCAAACCATAGCAAAACAAGGCACAGGATAATAGACTCTATTTCAGCTTGAATGTCTGAAATTATGATGGGGAATAATCAGAAGAATGCAAGAACAGAAAAGATAGAGTTGTCATAAATTTATGTGACATATAAATTTTATGTGTTTCCAATTCCTTTCCCTTTTTAAAGTCTTTGTTCTTCATTTCTAAGGATTTTCTGATTAAATCCATAAGTTTCCATTTTCAAGCATTTCCTTGTTCAGATTCTAAAAAGTAAAAGAATATGCAGAAACATTAAAGAAAATATTTGACCCACTAAAAGAAAATTTTTATATTCAATTATAAATATAGAAGTTTAATAACCTGATCATTTTAAATGATAGGTTTGTCCTCAGTTTTTATGTATTTTGAAACGGAGAACTAAAGGTGACACAGAAATTTTGACATAGTACAATATTGTCAAAGTTGGACCCTGTTAATAAGCCTAAGAGAAGGTATTATAGATTGCATCTCTCATGCTATATGGATAATTAGAGAGACACATTTCTGAGCCTTAATTATATATATTCAGAAATATCCTAGATAGATGTGGGTGAACACTTGGTAGAGAATGTAAACTACATAATAGACATTTTAGTTTTTATATGTGATAAATTCTTGAACTTATCTAGAAGCAATCATTTTAGAAACCAGTAATTATATTTTACTTGAACTTTTTAATTGAGAATTTCTATAATATGTATGGTTTAGTTCAATTTATAAAGATACATAGGATTTTATAATATGGAAATAACACACTCATCTTAAGCAGCAGCCTTATGTGGGAAACTGAGGCACCTATTCATTTTCTTTAAATTGGCATTAGGTTTTACTATTTATACTGTACCAGCACTGCAAGGGGCACTGTATTCTTCAATAGTGTATTCATCTGAAACACAAAAATGATCCTACAGTAAGCAATTAATTAACAATTAACAAACCTATAAGCTAAGTAAATAGACATAAAGTATACCCACAGAACCAATGAAAACAATTCTGTACTAAGCTGTTTGGGATTGGGGAAAGAGACCAAGAGAACTAAGCTCTTGGGCACAGAACTGAGGGCTGGTGACATGGATGGTGTGCTTGTGTGCCACTACAGCACTGGGGACAGTCAATTCCCACAGATGCGTCTCCCCCAGTGGAATTATGCCTTCCTCTATGAACCTGTCTTAAACTAAAAAGGAGATAAGTCTTAACAGTAGCAGCATGCTCTGGTGCTGGTAAATCTTGACTTTAAAGTTATGAGGAAATGGAAGAATTTCTTAACATATTACAAAATTCCCCAAATTGTGTGAGACTGTCCAAAGCAAACCAAAAAATTCAATTTCTTATATTATACATCAATATTTAGATGTAGTTTTTAAGTTATTGCTACTTTTCTTATCTTTCTAGAATAATTCAGTCCAAGACAGTGACTTTAGAGGGAAGTGTAGAGAGAACTGATTATCTCTACTTTATGATCAGTTTATAATAATGACTCAAAAACTTACTTACAGAGCAAATATGAGGTTAATATACAGGGACATGATTTTTTAGTGATCAAAACTTGCCTTTTCTTTCAGTGAAATATCTTGGAGTTTCATATCAGTTAATGCAACTGTTTATGTTGTTAGATTTTTGTATCAAAGCTTAGCATATATAAATCTCACTCACCTGTCTCATAATAATCATAGGCTTTTACTATAGCTGGTTTTAAATTCTTTACTTGTATGTCTTGTTCCACCAAGAAGGAGAAACTCAGAGCTTTATTGGTTAGCTGGAGAGAGGAGAAATGAATTGGGATCAAAGATTAGCTTTTTTACTGGTTAACATCTCCTTTTCTTAAAATATTATCAAATACCATAACTGTACTTTATATCCCTATCAAAACCTAAGAGAGAATGGGGAATTTTGTGACTTTCTTAATATACCCAATGACAAAAAAGGACAAAATTTCTGTGGGCAATCAAACGGAGCAAAGTGAACCTCACTGACTAGTTGTCCCATTTCCCTTTGTGACTCTTTTGTCCTTCCTCATTGTGTATGTGAAAAGCATTATTTGGAGTCTGGATAGACTTATTAAAACTTCTATTAGTTTTACAGACCTAGCAGAGTCTTATGAAGTCTTACCTTCCTAAGGTAGATTAGGACATGATTGGTGCTCACTTCAGTCCTTTGAATCTCAGGCTGTTCTTGAAGCTATGGACAAAGGGGATAAGCCAGAAACATGGAATGAAGAAATTCTATATTGAGAGCAGTTTTTAGGTATTTATCATCAAAATGAGTTCTCTGGAGCATTCAAATTACTACTTTTTATTTCTTCAGGAATAACAATAATGATAATATTTATTGACCCTATTACTCTCATATATCCATACATATGATATACCTATAGGATATAAATGTATATTCGATATATATGTGATAGTTACACATGCACTTATATACCCTCTTTTTTTTCTTTTTGTGTAGTTGGAAGGTAACTCAGTATCTCTGCACATACCTAGATGTCTAAGCCTTCTAGAACATTATTTATCATTTTTATGACTTTTACCTTAACTGACATCATATCATCTTCTGACCTACACTAAAACTGTGGGAATATACTTTAGAGAGGCAAGATCCAGGACATTAGTAAAATCAAATTGACAATGTAAATATCACATTTTATCATGGGATTGCTATCTGTAAGACATTTTGGATTTACCTTTTTCACTGATGGTTTCACAGGTATGAAACCTGATATCATCTTCACATCCACAATAACCATGTTGGAGTTGGGTCTTTCACCAGCATAACTATGAAGTAAG